GCGTTTTGCTCGATTTACTGCTCCCGTACTGCTCGTCCCGCTGCTGCACTGTCTCTGCAATTGAACAGTTTGTTTAAAAGATGGGAATCGTCCGAGCAGAGCTGGCACCCATCTTAAACAGTTTTCTTATTTTTATACAGTATTCTCTCATTATTTATTCTTTTAAACATTTCTTACCTATTACTTCTCCTTTGATTATTATTCTTGTTGTCCCAAGTAAGCAGCCGCATTTGATGGGTTAGCAGTATCATACAAACTGGCATTAGTGTTATAGCAACTGCACATGAGCTATGGAATAACTCAGTATCGTACAAAAATGCTGTTCCGGAGGAATACTCTCGGACACCACGCGCAGTCAGTGGGAAGAACGAGCAAGGTGGGCGAGGAAGCGAGGGAGAAGCAAGAAGAAAGGAAGTTTCATTTTCTCACACTGGAAGAATTTTACCAACCTGATAAGTACGGATGTTGTTCCTGCTGGGTCTGTGAGGCGGTAAAAGTTGCCGCATGAAGCTGCGGTGATGACAAGTCGATGCTTCTTCCTGCGAAATGCACTTGGTGCGGTGCTATTGCCACTGCATCTGGCACTGCTTCCAAGGCTGAATCGGTTGCTGAATCAATAAGCACATGCGATGCCCTACTGCTTATGCCGCTGTTTCCTTCAAAAGCTTTAGAATGTGCAATCGATGACTCGGCTTCCAAGCTGATACCATTTGTTGTCACTGTTGTTGTTGTTGTTGTTATTGTTGTTGTCGTTGCTGTCGCTGCTGCTGATATCGAAGATTCAAAAGGTGATGATGATGAGGAGGACGACTGCGGCGTTAATGAATCCATTGACGCAGCTTCATCGTCCATTTCTGACAATGGATATTGAGAACCGATGGAATTTGCACCGACATTTTGAAACAAACATTTTAATAGAATTAAAATCTCTAGCGTTTTTGTAGAATAACGCAAAAAAACTACGGGAAATACGTGTTCCTAAATTTCATGTATACTGATTTTGCTTTTCAAAAAATTAAAATCCACAAACGAAACAGTAATCAAATGGAACAGAAAACACATAT